GCATGTTCTCACTCATAGGTGGGAATTGAACAATGAGATCACTTGGACACAGGAAGGGGAACCTCACACACCGGGGCCTATCGTGGGGAGTGGGGAGGGGGAAGGGATAGCATTACGAAATATACCTAATGTACATGACGAGTTAATGGGTGAAGCACACCAACATGGCACATGTATACATATGTAACAAACCTGCACGTTATGCACATGTACCCTAGAACTTAAAGTATAATTTAAAAAAAAAAGATACCTCAAATTTTAAAAAAAGTCAGACTCCTTTTAAGTAGTGTCTTTTCAGAAAGCTTACAGGTCACTAAATATGCAGCAGATTGGAAAAACAGAACAAAATAAAAATTAAAAGTCAAGGCACTGCCAATAAAGAATCAATCAGAAAAACTGATCACGTGAATCTATCATTTGAATGATTTTTAAAAATTGTTGATGTGATTACATTTCCCTTTTACCCAACAGAGGGTAGTTCCGATTCCAGACATGCAGCTGCACTGCCTGGATCCCAGGCCAAGGTCCTGCTAGCTGGAGCTTGAAGCACACACAGCAGGCAGCCTTACGGGGAGCTTGGAGCCTGCATCGGCGTGGGCAGGCGCATAGATGTTCAGGTACAGGCAGTCTTCTGACGCGCCAATATTGGGGTAATGCACCTTGAGCATGTGTTGATCTAAGCGCAGCCACTCTGAGTTCTGGAGGCACCTTGGAGAAGGAGAGGAGAAAACCCTCAGAAAAAGTTATCAGCAAACTTGCCTGGGAAGGGCCAGTTCTTCTGAGAGCAGTGAGTCCTGGCCGTCTCCTCTGCCTGAGCAGAAGAGGCAGCTACTGGTACAAAGTCCAATCATACCCAAACCCCCATGGTTTCCAAAACAAACAAGCAAGCAAATTACAATTCTCTTTGATCTGGTTCCTGGCTAGGAAAGCACATGGTGTAGAATAATTGCACCATTACCACCCACCACCCTCCTATGCCACCACGGTAATATAGACACACATAACAAACCAAGCTGGCCCAACAATTCCCCAAACCGCAGAGGGCAGAACACAGTCGAATAACAAGGGCTTTGCCCTTGCGGCTCCCTCTTCTGTCCCCAGAAGAGCAAAGGAACATTTCCAGTCCTCTGTACCTGGAACAAACCGGGATAGACTCCCGCACCCAGGCTTTGCTCAAGCCGGGCCCTCTGCCTCGACTGCTCTCTTCCCATATCTGCGTGCTCACATTCTTCCCTTTGTTTCAGATTCACTCTAACTTACCACCTCCTCCCAGAAGCCTTCTGAGATTTCTCCAGTTCTACCATATCTCTTCTTTGGAAACACCCACCTACTTTGTGTTCTTTCCCAGAACTTGTCCTAAGCTTGTTCGTGTGCATTATCATCATCCCCAGCTCAGCTGTGAGCACCTGAAAGCCTACGACTCTGTTTTAGTCACCCCTGTACCTCAGAGCACCAGCAGAGCATGATACACCATAAGATTAAGTGAGGCTGTCATGTGAATGTTTCTACCATACTGTGTGCACAATCAATGCTAGTTGTTTTCGTAATAGAATAGTGTGCAATAGCGCTGCTCGTCTTCTCCTGACAGGTGTATACCTCCTTGCCCCTTTTGTATGTTGTTGATCAGGCCTCAGTGCTTTCAGAAAAGCCATCTCTGACCTCCCATCCAAGCTGGGCCAGGTGGGTTTTTGTTTCCCCTCAGCACCCTTCCCTGACACCCTAATGGTTGCCCTTCCCATCTTATATTTTAACTGTCAATTACTGTTTACATTCCTGCCACCATCACCCCTCTGCATGCTGCCTGAGGACAGCGGTGACTCATCCCCTGCCATGTCAACAGGCCTAATGGAGAGCCAGTTATCAAGTTGATTCTCAATGAATATTAGTTGGGTGAATGAATGAATGCACACAACAAATGAGTTTCAGCTTGATGTCCTCAGTCCTTGGACCACATGGGGTCATCTTCTATGGCTTAGGGAATATCCTGGCACCAAAATTTCTTCTGCCAGGAACCCATGTGGCCCAACCTGAGAGCTTGACAGAATCTAAAGACTTAGAAGGTTCTAGGGGGATTTTCAAGTCTCACTGCCCACCCAGTAAATCTCACCTCACCCCTCCACAATTAACCTGGTAACTGCTTACCTACCCGAGCTTGAAAATCTGCAGTGCCCAGGAGCTCCTTACCTCCCAGAGTCCCTGTGTCACAGAGACACATCCACATGTTCATTCCACGGGTATTTATGGAGTTCACCATGGGCCAGGTATGGCATCAGGCACAGTTTTGACAGCTGGAGCTGACACCCTTCTAGTGTGGTTCTTCTCAGTGAAGCCCCACCCAGTCTGACCACAGAGGCCAGGCTTGGGTGAGAGGTCACAAGAAGATACCTAGACAGTACCTTCTGATCAAACGACTCAGTAAGCCCATCTCAGCACTTTCGGAAAACCTGGCTGGTGATCAGAGTCTCTAGAGAACATTCAGATAATAGTTTCCTGGGATCAGCTCGGGATATTCTGATTCAGAAAGTTCAGAAGGGAGCTTGGAGAGTCGGCATATTTTTAAAGATGCCTCCAGCGTCCTGGCCATCAGTCGGTTTAGGAGTCAGGAGATTACCGAACCACTGGCCTGAGGCTCAAGCCCTCTCTTTCCCTCCTCCTCCATCCACGCCAATCCCTCTTCTTTCTCACTGGGCTGCATGACCTGCATTCCTGCCACTCCCAGAGCCACAAACCACCCGTGGGCCCGAACCTGGTCTTACAAATTAGGGTAGGAGGTGGCTTCTCGCAAGTTATCCCAGGGCGATGCAGGCTGAGGGTTCGTAAATCTCAGGGGTCCCAGCGGGGGAGCAGCAAAGGGGACTCCGAGGAACACGTTCACAGGCACAGGGCTTCCCAGCACGGTGACTTGCTTGCCCTGAATCCATCCCAGCCTGGTGTTCCTCTGTGGCCCTTCAGCAGAAGGCCCTGGGGGAACACATGGAGGAATCAGGAGCAGACTGGGGACAGGCAGGGTCATGGCCCACCCAGCCTGTGGCTCCCCAGTGGGGACATGCTTCCTTCACCCAGAGGCTGTGCAACTGACCGTATCCAGCTTCCCTCTCCATGAATCCAGGTCCACGGCTTCTTCCAAGATTGCTGCAGAAGTCACCCCATGAGACCACTGACTTAGTTTCTCCTAGGGGCCCAGCAGCACCTAGCCACAAAATCTCCCCCATTCACTCAGGAACCCATCTCCCTTCTGCTGAGAGCTCTTTCTTTCTACAGGATTGACACACACCAAACTCTGTAGATCCTGGGATGCCACAAACTCATCTTCCCAGGGATTCCTACACTTCTGTCACTCCACACCCTCCAGCACCACTGCCGGCACATCTGTGCAGCACCTGCATGATTACTGGCTTTTTATTTTTTTCTTAAAATTTAATTTCAATAAACTCCTTTTAAAATTTTACCTAGAAGAATTCCAAGTAATGACATTTATGGAATTGCGGTTGATGAGTTAGGTATATGCTTTTGAATACACATGAATATTCATGGATGAAAATGTAAAATTCTCAAGCAGATGCTTCCTGAAATCAACCCATCTACTTCCAGCAGCATGGCACTTTGGGAGACTGGGCATGCAGGAATCTCAGTCACCACACAGAACATGGAGGCCTGGGAAGGAAACTGCCCAGCTACTTACTTAGCAAGACCCGGGTGTCTTAGCACTGTTTCTAATGTCATTTCATTACTGAAAGTTCTGTCACTGCAGCCAGGAGTGCGGAAGCACAGGCTCTACTCCTCACACCTCCACAGTGCTCAGGATAGTGTCCCTCTAAACCCCTTGCAGCGTGTGAGCAATCCAAGGGCAGAACCAGGGTCTTTTGTGCTCTACCCACCCCAAGCAGGAAGCTCTGGTCCTAGGTTCTCGGCAACACCAGAACATTGATGCCATCAAAGTACTACATAGCTCTCCACGGACACTCAGAGACCTCTAAAAAATAACCTCATTTCTACCAGTGGAAAATCCTCTCCCACCCCGTCTTCTGAGAGCCCTCCTCCCCCATTGGATATCTCACCCTTGGTTGGGGCTGCAAGGACCCAGATAGCCCAAAATAGGATCTGGCCTAGGTGCACCCAATTCCCGCTCATTTGGCTGCCTGCCCGAACTCGGTGAACATCGACAGCGGCTGCTGGCCTCAGAGAGCTTCAGTTGGGAGCCAGAAAGAGCTTCTTGTTAACTGGTAAGTGCTGAATAGGCAGGCAGAGGCAGCCGAGTTACTGAAGAACAGCATCAGAACAATATTCTCAAAGGAATTGACCAAGCAAGACTTTCCTGTTCTGATTTACATAAGAAGCTGATGATTAACTCTTGAGTTGGGGAAAGATAATTTGATCGGCTTTGGACTTCCGGGATGGGGGAAATAGAAAAGACATTCCAGATCAGGCAAGACATTTTAGGATTACGAGTGCCAGAGACCCAAGGATGAATGTGGTTTCTAGCCCCGCTTGTGGAACACAGTGCAGGCTGGAGAAGCCGAGAAGTTTCCGAGAAGAGGAAGAAGGTTGCTGCCGGGACAAGCCAGTGGCTCGGAAGGCACAAACACTGCCAGCTCAGACTGGCAGCCCGGCTGGCCCTGCCAACAAGAGTCTTCAATGGCCATTTGGTCTACAGCCTCCTTGGCAACCTTGAGGCCTCTTAGATTATATTATTTCCCCTTTGGCCCTTCATAGTTGCCACCAAAAATATTCTCCCTGGCCTTCAAATCTGTCCCTTCATCTGACCAGAAATGTTATCAATTCTCTACACCACTGCTCACTCAACTGTTTTAAAGCACTTCACACAAACTCTCTTGTTGCCACCACCACCACCCCCAGTGTGGATGTCTTTCTTCTCCAGCTTCTTCTTTAAAATCCAGTTTAACCACCACCTCTTCCAAGAACCTTCCCTTGATTCTCCTGAACTTCTCAGTGCTTTGCTTTTCCAACTTCTCTTATTCTCTAATAAGTCGTAGCCATGACCCTCTTCCTCCTTGGAGTACACCTAGGACTTTTCCAGGTACCTATTCATCCCAGTGTCTTACATGTGCCCTGTGGCTTCCCAAAGCTCAGCTCTAGACCTTCTGTCTTCACAGTTTGTTCCATTCCCACTACCAAATTCACTATCAATTTACTTGATTTTTTTTTTATTTAAATTGAGATTTTTTTAAAAGCTGTTATTAAAGAAAATTGTATCTACCTAGTGCAACAAGGATAGTGTTTTGGGAAGAACAAGCCAATATATCTTGCATTTCTATACCACAAAACCATTCCCTTACCTCTAGCAACCATTACAATGAAGGGGAGGTATATGGTCGAGAAGATCCCCAAAATAGGACAAACAGGAAAATCCGGCCCTTCTGTACAGTGGATTTTGGAAAGGAGAAGGGAAGAGAGGTAGGGAAAGCATGTGTTATGCAAAGTGCCCTGACTCCCCCTCTTAGACATAGGTCCTAAAGGGGTACAGCAATGGGGTAAAGTGATGGGGTGCAGTGAGGGGCTGAAATGTGTGCCAACTTGAAATGTGTGCTAAGCAGTGAAGGGTTCTCCAGGAGGATACTGACAGACGGGTTCCACATCTCAACCAACCTGGGGCAGCCACAGCAGAGCAGAAGTGGTTGGGCCAAGAGAGATCTCAGAGAGTGCTCCCACTTCCCTTGGATCCCCAATTCCTTGAAATGGATCCAGACATCACCGTATGGCTTTGAAGAAAACTCAGAGGTGACTACCAACCTGGCTGGGAGCTAGAGGAGGAGGAGGAGGGCAGGGGGCTACAGATGCGCTTCATGGACTCGAGAACAGAGTGAAACCACAGCCTGGCCTGTGCTGCAGCACAGTGCTGAGCACTGTGCATGGTGAGGTGGGGCACTGAGCCAGCCAGGGAGGGTCAGTGGGCTTTGATCAAGACGAGAGGACAGACCATGAGTTCACCACGTGAGAATTCATCCTCCTCCCAGGAAGCCCGGCAGCGGGACGTTTCTGTGGAGACCACAACAACGCAAGGACTTCTGCAAGTGGGTCCAAGCTCCCTCTGCCCTCTCACTCATGTGGTCCTATTAGCATCCCTTGACTTACACAGCCTGACACCATCTTGGCAAGGAGTGTGGGTGGGGTGGGGAGCAAATCTGAGAGGCTATGGATTTATTTGAAGTGATTATGCTATCTAAAGAGACTGTTTAAGTTACTGAATAGGACTTTACCAGACTGAGTTAGATGTAATTATCTATCATTAACCAGAGGGGCGAAGAATTCTCCATGCTAAAAATGGAAATTAACAAGCATTATATATATATACATACATATGTGTGTGTGTGTATATATATGTGTGTGTGTATGTATATATAACATGCTATAATACCACCAAACTGAGTCTGTCTCTTCCACAAAATCAGAATGCAAAGAGAACTATAGAGGAAATGGTTTCCTAATGAAACGCCTTCTATTTGCTGTTCTCTCTAGGTACCGCCTCTGTCGCAGGCATCCCCTAATGCACAGGACCTACTCTGTGAGGAATACTGATAATGTCAGGAATCAATGCCACTAGCCTTCATTTACAGAATGCCTTATAGGTACCAGACCCTGGGCTAAATGCTTTCTTTGCATCTGTTAC